TAGAAGTAGCGACTTCAGCGACTTCAGCGGTAATTTGTAATCGAAGTTAGTTGGTTGCTCCTACGTGGAATACGCTTCATGCCAAACTCGACACTTGACTGACTTGTGACTGCGATCCGGAGCACATTCACGAGGAGCATGTGGAACCTTCCACTCGGCACACCTGCAAGAAAGCGCCCCTCCCTGCTCAATACTAAGTGTTTCGGGAATTCACCCTCATGGCAAAAGCGAAGAGCATCAGGCAGTCGCGATGTTATCAACAATCGCAGAAGCAGAAGCATAATCTTTTCTTTTTGTTGTCTGATGATTGGTTTTTGCCATGAAACTCTGAGTCACAACGAAACAGCCCTATTTTACTTCCTTTTGAAGTTTTGTGTACCTCTTGCGTACTACGCCCTGCCCATGGCCCAGTCTTTTCTACAACTCTAGACACAGGGCCAGGGAGACCGCCTTTCGGTGTATCCACTCATCCAGCCATTACCTAGCTTGATGGGAAGATTACGATCATGTGCTGATTTTCATTATACGTCACCAGGTCACCATGGCTAGCTAGGCTGGATATTCACGTACTACAGTATCTGGAATGCCAGATATGCATCAGGTACTTGTGACTATTGTCCACTTGATGTGACTGCCGCCGATGAGTTCAGGCCGCGCTGAACACTCGCCAGTTTCGCAGCTGAGATGCGAGCATACATTGTGTAATGTGGTTTGAAGTTACAATTATGTGTGTTGATAAAATTGAGCTTCCCAAGTTGGGTGGCGGTTACGTTGTCGAATTCTGGGTAGGCCGTTCTGTCCAATGGTCTTAGTCTTACCTTCTTGTGATCGTCCCAAACCAGCATTCCATGTAGCCTTGGAATGCAGCTTGTGTTGGACTCCATGGATCATGGCGCTTACCTTCCCCTTTGGTTAAAACTATTTTCACTGATAGCCATGATTCAGGTTGGAAGGGCAGGTATTTAGCGCTATCGGGCACTTCGCAAGCTCACGTTCATGTGGTGGAATGTCTCATTCACGTCAGGTTTGTGCTTGTGCACGTACGACAGACTGATCAAGATCTGGTGAAGTTGGTGGGCTCCAACGCATTTATACTCCAAAGTTTATGCTCCAACGTTTTCTTCTATAGTCTTATATCCTTTGGTCATGTAGAGCTGCCATGAACAATACGACGAAACAAACGTCACGTGATAATACAATGTCATGTTATTCTCTTCAACAAAGTCAAAGTGCATGTCTGTACTGTAGGACATCGGCATCCGGTTTGTTAGAATTCGTCCTGGCTAGACTCCCCCTTCCTGTCCTATCTTTGATAGAATCGAGCAACCCAAGTTGGGTGGTCGTGTCTGTGCGCTGTAGAATTGTCGTTTATTGTCTCGTGATCGTCCCAAGCCAGCATTCCGTGGAATGTAGCTTGTGTTCGGCTCCATGGAGCATGGCGCTTACTTTTATTTCCCCTTTGGTATTTTCACTGATAGCCATGAACCTTCCAGGTTGGATGGCAATTAGTTAGCGCTATGGGGCAGTGCTCTAGCTCACGCACTACCATACCGTGGAGAGTCCCAGTACTCTCAGTACTCCTTGTCAGTTTTCGGTGCTAACGTTAAATTGTGCATGTTTTAAAAGTGTGCACATCAGATTCTACACGACCCTCATGAGTCATGGCAATGTTCCTGCGCTGAATCCCACACACCATCACCAAACTATGGTTTATATTGGCCCAGTGACTGAGTCCCACTGATACATGTTTATCACAGGTCGCCTGATGATTGCATTGTGCAAGAAACTCGGAGTTGCGACGAACTCTGTAAACCTCCTTTGTGCTTGTTGACTGTTGTGTGTACCTAGAGACAATGCTGCTCAAGCATGTACATACATATACAATGCTGCTCAAGCATGTACATACATATACACATATACAATGCTGCTCAAGCATGTACATGTACACACATTATACATGTAGCTGTGTCGGAGGCCCAAGCCTTGATAGCAGTGAAATCCATGAATTCAAACCGGAAGTTCCGGTTTGAATTCATGGATTTCACTGCTACGTTCTCTGAGAAGATTTACTTACCGGTATTTATGCTGTTGCTTTTTGTGTGCTCCGTGTGCGGCTGATTGGGTTCTTTTCCTTAGCTTTGAGTTCTTTTCATTCTTTTGGGTTTTAGTTGCATTTTTCTATTCATTGATCATGATGGTATTTTTGCCCATACAAGAGGCTCGTTGAGTTGTTTGAAAAAAATATATCTACATGTAGTTGGTGGACTCCAACGCATAGCGTGTGCCCCACGGTTTCCCTCCTATTATTACCGGTACTTCAGTACATGTAACCATGGTAACGGTATTCTTACGAGAGTCGTATTAGCTGTTCACACAAGCAAAACGGAATGAGAAGAATAGCGTGGATAAAACCAACCGAGTTAGAGTTATTATGTACCATTGGCCACGGAATATACAGCTACTCATCGTAAACAGGCTGCCTAGATGCCACAGCCAGGATGCCACTGTGATCCGGATGCCAAACGCAGGCTCAGAGCCTGGACAAAGGCGTTTAACCAACCATGGTCGACACACGGATAGACAGATATAACTTACATGTACAACTATTGTACAATCATGTACATGTACCCACATACACACGCACAGATGAATTTTAAAAAAAGGTCTTGGCTTGACAAAGGTCGTATATGTATATCAGTGCACCTTGCGGGCCAGTCTGATTGCCAATTGCCAGGAAGAGGTGCCTATGATTGATGTGTCAGGTCATCTCCCTTTCCTGTCAACACACCAAATTAGGCTTTCACGTACCGAAGAGGAATGGCTGTGGCTTGGACTTGACAAAATTCCATTTGCAATGTCCTCTTGACAGGATACCATTACGAGTAGACAATACTTGACTTGTAATTGTCAAACACGTACAGTGCAATTCAATAGACGCGCCATCAGCCAGTGTTAGTACTATAGTAGGGCACTATCGCAGGAGGTGATGATTCTTTAAAGGCAACGCACCGCAAAAGCCTGCTACGGTCAACTGTCGAACGCGCTTCATGAGCTACGCAGGGCTACCTCTATACTTTTACCCTTTTAAGTTGTCCTAGGTACCAGCAGGTATGACATCAACACACACTAGCGCAGTCATTACCATCATGTGCTTTACGTAATGCCATCCTTTGTCACTGACGGAAGACATGAAGAAGAAGCCAATGTCAAAGCAAGGCACGCGGTGGATGCGGCAGCGACTTGTGTTTTGTGCTGTAGAAGTTGATCAAGCTCTCACTCAGCCACTGTACATAACGTATCGCCGGCCACCTGTACATGAACTCATCAGGAATGCCACGGATGATCACAGAAACCTTCAAGCGGCGCCCGCACCAAAAAAACACGACCTGGTTGGAGCGTTGCACGCATACCATCACTCCTTTAGCTCGAGCCCGCCATCACTCAGCGTCAGATCACACATTACTCTACACTAAAGTACGTAGAAACAGCACATTTGCCTTTGGCATTGACCGATACCGTGACCTGAGCGCTGCATCATGAGCTGCTGCCGGACTAAATCCACCATGTGGTACATAATGCACGTTGAAATTGCCGCTTCACGTACACACCCGTCTGGAAATACATGGAGCGAAGAATCTAGATAAGTGGATGTAAGCACCTTGCGTGTGTATGCTCGCGCTCGCGCGCGCGCGCGCGCGCGTGTGTATGTGTGTTTGTTTGTGGTCAACCGAGCTTGGATTAGACAATTACACCTGCAGAAAATAATCAAAATACACTCCAAAGCCACCCGTCAGTCTGTGCATCAATACATGTATCACGTACATCGGACGTACAAGCTCAACATTCAACAGAGGCCCACATTCATTCTTAATTAATTTGGATCACACAATACATGTAAATCACTGCAATACATGTAGAGACGTACATACATGTGTTAATTAAGGCATTGTGTCGAACTAGGTGTCGGTGAGCCAAGCCGACGAGTAGAAACCAAAAGCCGCAGGTTTGCTGCGTGTTTCGGCTGCCTTCGTGTTTGCGGGCAAGCACATAGCATTGCGGTGGCTGCAACGCAAAGGGTCGAGAGACTTAGCAACGGCAATGAAGCAAGATTTTGCTCTATCACCGCATTCGTGTGTGTGACCAGGCTGTGCAGCCAACTCTCCGCGTCATCATTCTCATGCTCACCAGAAGCAAAGAGTAGAGACGGCAGAGCTAGAGCTAGAGCCAGTAGAGGCGTCCTTGCAATAGCGGTAAGCCAGGCCGAGAAACACGCTCCAGCATCGTGCTATTTTGCCAGTAGTTCTCTGCTGCTGCTCAGCTCACTCCTCTGTTTTAGTCACGTGACTGGTCTCCGAATACAGGAGCAAGCAAATGCTACTTATTGCTAGGGGCCGGAAGGCCTGGAGACTTGTTGCTAGCATTTCAAATTTCCTACGCTGCATAATGCACAAGTATCTCTGTGGTCCCAGTGTAGGGAGGTTGCACGGAGGAACCTTGCACTCTGAAGACGTACAAAGCACTGTATCATGTACTGCGAGCCACATGCATTTCCGCCATAGCACAAAGACAATCAAAGAGCATAGCGTTACAATCACTCGATAGCTACACTGGGTTTCCCTCAGTTGCCCTACACCCTACACGCCGCGCTCCGGTCACGCTCAACCGGCACGCGCCGAAGCTCCACAGATTATCTGCTGGTCCACGGCGTTGCTGCGTTTCCAAGTTTGCCCAGGCGAATGTTACCTGCAACACACTGTCGGCTATGCCTCTGTGCCCTGCACAGTGCTGGTGCTGAGTGCGTTATTATGTGAAGGTAGAAATGTCGCGACTGTGGCTAACGGGCGTGGAAGATCATCGTGGACTAAATGCGTACACATTCCCTGGCAATGTATGCACCATATCGCCCACAAGGGCAGGTATGTGTGAGGTGATACCATCACATACAGCCATAAACCTAGCGTATGCAGCCTGTGTGATTACATACAGGCACACGCAGCTAGCCTACGGAGCGCGAAGTGGGTAAAGGCAAGCCTGCAGTGCCTGATCCAGCAGTGTCACACTTCCTCTGTGATTGGTGACATTGGAGTTTTCTTCTCGAGTTCAGCAGGAACGGTCAGAGCTAGTACCAGCCAAGTCGCGGTCTGGAAAGGGAGCTCTTGCAGCTTGGAGGGCTGCAGGCAAGGAAGGAAACAAGCCAACCAAGGTAAGAGTGACTGGCTGTCTTGTTAGAGTTGCAGGATAGTAATGACCTGAAAACCTCTGACTAGTCGATCGAGAAATATCGAAGGGCAGAATCCCTTCTCTAGCAATGGTTTCTCCGCCTAAGTCTCTCTGCAGTCGAATTAGATGTGTCATTAGTTGTTGGTCGAACCCTATCCTAAAACTCTCGAACGAACACGTGCCAACACCATCGAATGTAGAATGCGCGCGCTTCAGAGTGAATGAGTAGTTTCTAAGTGCCCCTCAAGGAGGAGGCGGAACCCGTGAACGAGATCGATGCACTCTGAAAACATGCCATGTAAACCATCATGGGGCATGCCCTACACCATGGTACCACCGTCTCGATTGCATTATAACCGTTAGCCGTTACTTTAGCCGTTACTTGTCTTTAGCCGTTACTCTAGGAGAGGGAAACTGTGGCGTGATCACACTGAATTGTTCATACAATGTACTTGGAAAGGAGAGCAAACAAAAGTCTAAACAAAAAGTCTTCTTCCCGTGGCTAGATCCTGCTAGTTCCACCCGCCACCTACCCGGATGTCTCGTCGACGACCATGAAACAAACAACATGTTCTACTGATCCGTACCGTGTCTCTTCCAGCAAGTGATTGGTACTCGAGACATGCCATAGGAGCAATATTTGAAAGCTTGAAGCCTGTTGAGTACGATCGATGGAGTGCATCACTAACGGCAGGAACAATTTCAAGTCCGTTCTGTACTGTAGTTTGCAGTCTCTGTTTGTGCCTGAATAGAGCTCCCCCCCCCCCCCCACTGCCTCTCCATATACTAGTACTAGTATTGTACGTGATAACAGGAACACATCAGCAAAGCAATGAAAGGGATTTGAACTCCGGCATTGCTACGTGCCCGTCTTGTTCCGAACACAAGTTTTCCGTGAGATAAGGAGCATAGCGACAGCAGCAGCATTGTCATACTGGAATCTACTACTACTGGTGGCACCAAACACCCGTGTAACCAGCTCGCAACGGAAAGCCAATTCCGCTCAAAGTGATCCTGGAGTGAGTCTAGGAGATCAGCATAAGGAAAGGGAGGGAGAGAGAGAGAGAGCGAGAGAGAGAGAGAGAGAGGGGGGAGAGAGAGAGAGAGAGAGAGAGAGAGAGAGAGAGAGAGAGAGAGAGAGCGAGAGAGAGAGAGAGAGAGAGAGAGAGAGAGAGAGAGAGAGAGAGAGAGAGAGAGAGAGAGAGAGAGAGAGCGAGAGAGAGAGCGAGAGAGCGAGAGAGAGAGAGAGAGAAAGAGAGAGAGAGTTTACTGTCTACGACCAGTGGGTGCATTGGACACAGCTATAGCCCGATACACAATGAGCAGCTGGAAGGGAAATAGCGAAACGAAGTGTTACTGGAGAGAGTTGTCCATGAAAGAAGGGCCGTGATACTTGACCAGGATGAGTAGAATGTTAACTCTAATCTTGAAATGTGCTTTTTGGCCTGTGTAAAATCTTGGTGCCATCGCCAATCGATACTGTATGAGCACATGTGCAGTTACCTACGAAAGGGAAAGCGGGTTAGTTGTCAAGCCTAAACTTCTAGCCTTTGCCCCCAATGAGCTACGTTGTTCCTCCATGCTTTTAGTCGCGTCGGAGAACGTGTCTGTCTAGTGTCTATGCACATGTCCTCCACCCATGGTGGTCGAGCGTGGCGCGCAAGGAAACAGCCGGTAAAAGAAGGATGCCTGCGGTGCAGCGGCGCAGCTAAGGGCCGGGAGCAGCGAACAGTAAAATACTGCATGTGTATGTTAGTACAGGCCAATACCTATCCATAGCAATGAACCTAACATGAGTCGCTGGCAGCTAACAGCGCGTAAAGATGACCAAACGTACGGGCACAATATGGTGCAGCAATAATGGTGTAGACCGCAGTGGGTTTTCTTAGCTTGGTTATAGACATCGAGATTCTTGCATTGGAGGATGTTGAACAAAAATACACGTGCATATAGCTTATACGACACTCGCAAGCGCCGTTCACTGCTTCAGTTCACGTGACTCGTCGGCCCGGTCCCTTGAGTTCAATGCACCTCACAACCATCCCTGGTTGCCACCACCACCACTACTCCTGACGATTGTAGCTTATAGTAGTTGCTCTTTGGTTGCTTGCCCATTGGCATTGGAGTGGCCCTCGTGCAAGTACGTGCTAGGAAATGCGAGTACATACCCATCAGTCACGCGGGCTATCTGAGCATCTCCTAGGCGTTACATCAACTGACCCTTACTTTGTGGCCTGATTTGTCTGGGAAAGGGAGCTATCCACTCCAAATGCCAGACGCTTTAAACCGTGGTCTACTGGAAATTGACGACTGCACAACTCTGATAATGCTAGTAATGGCAGAGGCGTGCATGCATAGTGTTATGAGATTAGATACGGAATGAAGACAGTGGTAAGTTCGTATCTACTCATCTCGTTCGTATTCATGTAGTGCGATCTCACACGATAATTATTACTTAGTGACTTCCTCGTCACGACTTCATCATACCGCCTGGCCTCCCAGTTACATGTACCTTAGGCAGTGGCAGCATGCACGAGCAAGCCCCTACGTCACACAATGAGGTAGTCGGGCCCTCCTTGTCGAACGGTAGATATACCATACCGACCCATGCCATCTCTCAGTGTTATCCAGCACAGACATCACAGTCCTTATTGCGATGGCTGAATAGAGGAGGATAAACGCTTAACGTTAACTGTGCTCTGTCTGCAGAAGAGCTCTCATCACGTTAACGTGACATAGGCTAGCTGTGTTTGGAAGGGAGTGAAAATAATGCTCTATGCCAAGTAACTAACTTGGTGCTACCTTATCACCATCAGACTTCTTTTTATAATGCGCAAGTTGGACTTAGTGATGCGAGATGGATACTTATGTAGTTGATCATAACGATAAGACGATGAGGTTATGAGTGAGCTGCTGGTCTAGTCGGCCTACTGTCGCACGCACAGGTACATAGTCTTTGCGCACCGGTTTCGATCATTAAACTTAGCGAGCACCCCGCGGTCCACTATGTACATGATTGGAGATGGCACAATGCACGATGCTCGTTGTCTGGTGGGAATGCTCTTCAGGTCTCGCTCAGTCTCCAGCCTCCCAACCCATGGTTGCAGTGCGACCAAGCTATGCAGGGATATCTGGTTGAAGAGTTTAGCAGCGGTCCCACCGTCAAGGTCACATGATACAGTGCAATCATGTACTTCAGTACATGTGTCTGCGTATCATACTACAACTGTAATGTCCTAATGACCCTATGGAGTATGGAGTCTGCTAGTCACTAACAGCGAAGAAGAAGATGTAGAATTCAGGTGTACATGTGCGTGAAGTTGATGAGGCCAATTGCTAACTCAACCACGAACACAACGCCACTACGACATAGCCCAAAGGCGGCATTAATTACGCTCGCTACACCCTACCTTCTCATTCGCTGATAATTATCGCTTTGAAACCTCTCCCAGTGTTGTAGAAAACCACAGCCCACCGCACAAAGTACTTTGAGTTTGAGCAAGCCTGCGTCAGAGGCCAGGGCATGAGGGCGACTGGTGCAGCATCACGCCTGAACGGTGTAGCAAAACAATGTCAACAGGTACAGACAGGTACATGATATTTCATAATCGAGACCGATGCACAATATCTCCCATCCGCAAGGGCTGGGAATTGCGAATGAGTTGACGCCACACTGTATGTCCGTCAATTTCCTGGCTTGCTGCACAAGGTGTAGTTTTAGTGGATGGGAAATACCCGTTTCTCAGTTCCGCTTTCGAGTTGGCATCAGCTACTCCGCTATCCAGTTGCCTGGGATCATGTGACTATGTTGAGATCGTTATGGTTGTAACGTCTGACTTTATAAGGAGTGTATCGAAATTGCATACAATTTACCACGCTACGCTAACGGCTACAGCCGTATGTGCCGCAAACGCGCAGACGAGATCTCTTCGTTCGCCAAAGCAGTACTGCGGCGGCAGTCGTAGATGTACCATGGTGTACAGTGGTTGTACAACAGTCAACAGCGACGGTTGTTACAACCACTGTGCACTACGCAATTGTCGGAGCGCCCGCTACTGCATCGACCTCTCCCACTTGGGAAGCGATGTTCACGCGTGGCCATCAGTACACATAAGGTGGTAGCGGTGCTAAAACCGAAAGTCAGATCAACATCCGCCGCGACGAGGGGAAATCTGCCATCAAATATCAAGTACAGTGGTGTACCCAGCAACCTGCTCAGTAGTAATTGTTTACTCTAGGTACAAAAACGGTCATGTAGCAACCATGTAACTGTGGCTTTGGCTATTTTGTACTTGGACATGATCATTATGCACGCTGTGCCTCTCCCAAAGCCATGGCTGTGTTCACCACCGTCTGGAAAGCTCCGATCTTTCAAACGAAGCACAGATCGAGTATATAAGCAGCTGGAGAAGCGTTGAACACGACACTAGTACTGGTAGTTTTCACGCCATACGCACACCCTTTACACACACTGTGACAGTAATACTAATAGAACTATTGTCGCGGATACGTCTCCATAACCTCTCTTTGCGTAGACGTAACCGTTTGGTTGCTGTTTGGTGCTGCTGTTGCTGCTGCTGCCCAGGTAAAGAGAGTCTGGCTGTACGATGGGAGACCAGCATCGTCGACAGCATAACCGTCGTAGCGGTGAACATCAACATCATGACGGCAACGGCGTTGGCAACAATGGCGTTGGCAACAATGGCATACCTCTGATCAATGTCGAGCAGCACTCGCCACCACCGGAACACCAGCAGCAGCATCACAGCCACAGGCGGCAGCATCAGCCCGAACAGCAATCGGGTCACCAAACCAGGACACCCGCACCCCAAAACAATGGCCACAGCAAAGGCGGCGGCGGTGGTGGCGGCGGCGGCGGAGCACCAAATCCCGGCAGGCAGCAAGCTGAGGTGCAGCTGAGCAGCGTGCCACAGGAGGGCTTCGTCCAAATGTCTCAGCTTCATATGGAGGATGACCAAGCCGAGTGGAGACAACGAGGCAGATGGCTCAAGTTCGAAGAGGAGGTCAACGAGGATGTGGGACGATGGAGGAAGCCACAGGCATCCTCACTCAGTTTCCACTCGCTGTTGGAGCTACGCCGATGTATCGACAAGGGTACTGTGTTGCTTGACCTTCCCAAGCCGGACCTCATGGGTATAGCCACGGCTGTTGTGGACGATATGGTCATGACCGGGCAGCTGGAGCGAGCTCAGCGTACCGACGTGCTCCACGCTCTCTTGCAACGTCACGTTCATCAAAGCGACCTGGCCAAGCTACACCAACCGCTGAGTCGCATGGGCAGTGTGTTCCGCCGTAAAAACAGACTCACTCCGTCAGTGTCCATCCAATCGCTGACTAGCGCGCCTCTGAGTCGCACGGGAAGCAATCGCTTCAGCGTGCGAAGTGTGAAAAACAAGCTCACGCCACGGCACAAGCAGCTGCAGCGTTCTCACACTGAGCAGGCGCAGGCCATCAGAGCGGGCAGCGATGGCAGCTCCGCTCCTAAGGGTGTACCGAAATCCAACCTTCTCGGTCCGCCAGGTCAGCTGAAAGCTGCCGGCGGTGTGACGGTCAATGCCGGAGCGGATGTACCACCCTGCGATTGCGGTGATCCAGAGTGCACTGTGGGGCTAGAGCCAAATCTGGGCGAAGAAGACAAGCAACTGACGAAGGACGAACAAGATCTCCTGAAGAAGATCCCAATCGGCGCCGAGGCCACCACTGTTCTGGTCGGTACTGCCGACTTCCTTACCTCACCTGTCATGGCTTTCGTTCGCCTCAACGAGGGACGTCCGCTGGGAAACCTGACCGAAGTGCCTATTCCTGTGCGCTTCCTGTTCGTCCTGCTAGGTCCTGAGGAGGAAGGAAACAACTACCAGGAGATTGGCAGAGCTATTGCCACGCTCATGGCTGATCCAGTCTTCCACGAGGCTGCGTACAGAGCCGAGTCAAGACAGGACTTGTTGACGTCCATCGAGGAGTTTCTGGAGGACAGCTTAGTGCTGCCTCGTGGTAAATACGACAAGGACCTTCTACTGCCGGCCATCAAGCAACAGAATATGCGAAGAAGGAAGAACAAGGCAGAGAGAGACGCCATGCTCGAGAAGGAGCCGGAGGAAGACCCGCTGGCCAAGACGGGTCATCTGTTTGGCGGATTGTGGCAGGATTTGGGACGTCTGAAGCGTCGTTACGTTAGCGACTTCACGGATGCCATGAACATGCAATCGTTCGTTACGTTTGTGTTCATGTATTTCGGATCAATCGCGCCCATCATTGCTTTCGGCAGCTTGCTGGGCGAGAAGACGAAGCACACGTTTGGACTGCCCGAGACCATTATCTCGTCGGCACTGGGTGGCATTATCTGGGGCATATTTGCAGGCCAGCCAATGATGATTATAGGACCGACTGGACCGACGATCGTCTTTGAAGGCGTCATCTACATCTTTGCCAAGGAGAACAACATCAACTTCTTTCCGTGGAGGTTCTGGATAGGCGTGTGGGTGTTTGTGATCCTGGCACTGGTGACGGTCACAGACAGCAGCTATCTGGTGAAGAAGTTCACTCGCTTCACCGAGGAGGTGTTTGCTGCGCTGATCGCATTCATCTTCATCTTTGAGCCGCTGATCAGTATAGACCATGCGTTCAAGCATCACCCTGTGGACATCAACTACTGCACAACGGACTACTGCATAACGCCAAACGCCTCCGCCTACGAGGACGATCTGAATGGCACCGAGCCCACGGCAGCATACAACTGCACTGGTGCAGCATACGGCAACGCATCCAATGCAAGCAGCTACGGGTGCAACCCGGGCGCTGCTGACAAGTACGGAGGCAAACCAGGAATCCACAACCAGCCAAACAGTGCTATGCTTTACATGGTGCTGCTGATCGGAACGTTTGTCATGGCGTACGCCCTGCGCAAGCTGAAGACCAGCCGCTACCTAGGAAAGATTCCACGTCGCATCCTGGGAGACTTTGGCATTGCGTTCAGCATCCTTACATTCGTCTTCCTCGACCACTTCCTCTTCAAGACCATTCACAGTGATAAGATCGACGCACCAAGCGGCATCGTCACCAGCACACCGCGTTCCTGGCTCATTTCCCCTATGGATGGCATGACGGCAGGTCACATCTTCGGTGCCTTTGTGCCTGGTTTGCTGGTGGCATTCCTGGTGTTTGTCGAGACGCAGGTCACCTGTCTCATCTGCTGCAGCCCCGATCATAAGTTCAAGAAGATCGGTGGCTATCACTGGAACTTGGCCGTCGTCGCAATCTACTCGCTCTTCTGCAGCTACACTGGCCTGCCGTGGATGTGCGGTACGCCAGTGCCGTCTCTCTCGCACACGCAGAGTCTGCTCAAGATCAACAAGAACGTGGCGCCGGGCGAGAAGCCAAAGATTGAGGGCGCCTACGAACAGCGCCTGACCAACATCCTCATCCACGGCGTCATCGCCTGCTCACTGGCACCGCCCGTCGCCTTGGTGCTGCGGCAGATCCCGATTGCCGTCATCATGGGCGTGTTCCTCTACCTGGGCTTCTGCAACATTCTCACCCTGCAGTTCACGCAACGCTGCATTCTCATGCTCGTGCCTGCCAAGCATCACCCGGAGGACGCAGCCTACGTGCGACACGTCGGCACCATTCGCATGCACCTCTACACGGTCGTTCAGATCTTCTGCTTCGGCGTGCTGGTCGTCTTCAAGATGACCAAGGCCGGCCTGGTCTTCCCGCTCATGGTAGGGCTGATGGTCCCGCTCCGCGACTATGTCATCGGCTACTTCTACTCAGACAAGGAGCTACACGCACTCGATCCCCATGGACCTGTAGAGAGTGACGACGAAGGAGAAGTTGATGAGTACGAGACGCACATGCCCGCATAACGGATCCAAGCAGCAATTCCGTCATCATCATCATCATTATCATCATCATTATCGTCGTTGTCTCATGTCTGCTATGTGAAGACCTTACACTTATCAGTATAAAAGGTTTGCATGCAAACTTGCTTTACTCTACCTTTGTGATTGTCAGTCTTACATTGTATTCTCGTCTCCGAGTATCTCCAGCTAACACCTACCAGTATATTAGATACTGATACATTTGAACTAGGTACCTGTAAGCAAACATAGGTAAGCTGCTCCTTTTTGTCATACATAAGATTTAGTGCTAGCGGCCCACGTGCAGGTGTAACCTATCAGTACTTTACATATTTTAAGTGGCATTTTCAATTGCGATGAACATAGCACAGCATTCATCTAGATTCGGACACATTCCTGCTATTCTACTATTCTCTGATCTATTATTGCTTCGTCAAATTCACATTTCCTTTGCCGATGATTTTTGACAACTTGTACTTTGGTTTTCTCTTGTTGATCGCCTCAGTACCGCCATCAAACATTTTACCAATGACACGATCCGTTGCCAGTGCCCAGTTACCAATGGAAGCCCAGCAAGTTATTTAAATTTTTAAAGACCGTCATATTCGTATACTGAATCCGAATCCCAATGTATAATTCAAGCTCTCGAAGCTACACATACTGCACACATATATGTAGGTGTGCAAGCACCAATTTAGTAACTTTGCTGTTTACTAACAATACTATTTAGTAACAGTTAACATTAGGATGTTTTCCCAGTGCTTCTATGGGTGTGTTTTCTACTCAGCACTCTGGCATGTCCATAGCAGGCCGCCAGTCAGAAAGCTAAGACATTTTGGCAGTTGATCGAATACCTGGTGGCTACTGCCGCGATGTGGATTTGTGTGGTTATTCAGTCAACGCATGCTCAACTTGACCGTCGTGCCTTGGCTTCCTGGGTGCACAGTATGGGTCAACATAACAACTACAGGTGGAATCCTGATAATTCGAACCTCCAAATGCCAGAAAAAACTTCTAATTATCAGGACATTCTAATTATCCAAACATGAACCCACAACACAATATGTATGTCAAAATGCTCCCATGGTCACGCAGAGTTGCGCCATGCCTATGGACCTTAGACACAGATCTCACGGATACTGAACTGACAGGCACAGCCTGCTCATGCAAACTGCACTGACCAGTACAGTGTACAGTGAACTTCGAATTACACGTTGCTAACTTCGATTATCAGCACAAATCCCACACATTTTCTATGTAAGTGGAATCCGTGGAACTTCGAATTAACCGGACATGTCCGGTTCGAGGTTCGAATCATCAAAAAAAATTATGTGGGAATCGTATTGACAGAAATCGGTCCTGGAAAAACTTCTAATTAAGCGGTATGTTCGAATTAAGACATGTTCGAATTATCAGGATTCCACCTGTATTATCATGTTGGCCCATACTATAATATGTAGTTGCTTCCTCTTATTCTTGATTTCTGGTCCAAAGATCGATGGTCACACAATTGTGGTCAAATGGTACTTGTACCAGAAAGCTGAAAACGGATTCCTAAGAGCAAAAAAAGACACTATCGTATATGCCACATAGCCATGATCTATGATTCACATGCCTGTGTGTGCGTGTGTGCGCGTGTGCGTGTGTGCATGGTGTCCCATATGGTGCAGTGGTATGTGCAGCGATTTCCAATCGATAGATTGCGGGTTCGATTCCCGACGATTATGGTCACACACGTCTTTCTTCTCTTTCTCGGACTCTTCCTGACTTTTCTTTCATTCTCCTGGGTGGTTACCAACAGCCAGTGCATGCCGGAGTATGTGGTGTGATGTGTGTGTGGGAAAAAAAAAAGAAAGAAAAAAATGAAAAGACCAAAAAAGGGATTCACTGGCCAGAAAATGTCACTCCAAATAGCTGTATGGTGTAGACCAGGCTGAATAGTGACGGTCAATTCTTCAGCCTTGCAAGCTGTTGAATGGTGTAATCCCAGCACAAGTTGCTATGGCTTCTGCCGTAGCATTGCTATCATCGCCTCCGGCGATGGGCGAAAGAAGAAGAAGGTCAAAGGTGTGCATGGTGCATGGTGCAACAAAGGCACACATGAAAGCCACATGATGTACACACAGACGAGAAAGAGAGCAGGAGATGTCCTTCCAACAAAGGAGTACCATACATAGTCATGCACAACCTAAACCATCATGAGACAGTGGCTTCTACAGCATGCACCGCGCCAGGGCGTACGGGTACGTGCAGGGAACGTGCTACACAGAATACACAGCATCAGCCAACACGCGGCATGATCCACAAGCAAGTTGGATTTCGTTGGTTGCATTCTTCGCTACATGCACTCCTGGATATACAATTTGCCATGTGCATCGCTACATGCATTGCCTCCAACATTGTGTGTGTCCGGGCCGAGCGTTACATGTGCATTGCATGCTCAATTTTGGCAATGCTTGCCTTGACGGTTTGAAAGGATGGCTTTAGGACTGCACAGCATATGTCGCAGAAAACAACTTAGCTGACCTTAGAAATTCAAGGACAATCCTGCTGTCCGTGACTTGGTGAAAACTGCTGAAAATGAAATTATAGAAGAAAATACCAGTAGAAAACAGTATTTAGGTTAAACTGTCACCACTCCACTTCTGAATGCAGCGCCAAACTGGAAGAGATCATCGAAGTGCCGAAGTACAAAGAGGTGGTTTTCAGTGGGATTTGAGGCAATACGGGTCAATTTCCTCATCTCCAGGTCAGAGCCGATTCCCACCACAAACAGTTCGCTGCAGGCACATCTGAGGGCGGCGGCCGTTTTCGCAGGGTTTCCACAGTGATTGGACTTGCCGTCAGTGATGACGAAGACGACTTTGCGACAGCCGCGACGCGACTGCCTCAGCACCTCATTGACTTTGGTCAATCCACAACGGATTCCCGTGCCACCGCCGGACGGAGTCATTTCCTCTTCTGGCCACCTGAACTCCCTGGCATCGGTTAAGTTGGCAACTACACGGGCGTGATGAGAGAATTTTACAGCACCCACACGAAGACAATCGGGAGCCAGCTTAGACGTCCGTGCAAGATAAGAAGATACAATGTCCTCCGTGAATTCGATCGCCGCACTGAAGTGCTTATCCTTAATGCTACCTGACTCATCAATGGCAAAGACCAGTTCAAGACAGTACTTGTTGCACGTGCCACAGCAGTGCTGATGCTGGCGCAGTACATTCCTGTATGTGAAAGCGCTGGGCCGATAGCAGCTCTGGCAAGATTCTTGAGCCATGCACGGGCAAGCATTGCCAGTGCAGGATCTCGCCGGAATGCTCATCAGGCTGTGGACGAGACTCGACACAGGTTGGAAGTTGACTGCAGACACAAGCACACGTACACATGCATATGAGGCAATGGGAAGAAGGCTCAGCTCATATTGTCATTTTGCAACAACTGTACACTACGATGCAGCATAATAGCATAACAAAATTCAGCATTACTTAACTTTAGGTGCAACATTCACTGCGCCATGTATTCTCTTCTCCTCTCAAGGTCATTCATGCAGTCCATGCACCGTGCACTGTGCAGCTTGTGCATACAGTACTGCATCCATTTAAAAACATAAATATGGGTCCGTCAGTTTCTTGGCGGGCCTTTGCCTTCGGAGTGGCAGCAGTGGCGGCATTCAAGGTGAACCTGTTCTTCTTCTGTGTGACAGCTGCATGCTCGGCACACTGAGCACCGTACTGGCTGCTGCCTGTTGCCAGCACATTGGTGCATCCCAGAATAGACTGTGAGCCAAGTGCATGAATTCATGATTTTCGTTCCCACTTTGGGTGTAACGCGATTTTGTTCTTTTAGCATGTGGAGAGACCTAATAGAAGATCATTTTTGATTGTTGTCAGTTTGGGAAGCTTGCAGGGAAGTCAAAATAAGCAATTATCTTAACATACCCCGTTTCCATAGCAACTACATAGCAACTGACATAGCAACATGCTATTTTGAAGGTGTTTCTTACTTTTTTCAGCAGGCAACGGCACTGGACGAAGAAATGTATATCAAGCGTCATTGCAGCTGGGTTAAAATAACTATACGAGCCAAAAATTATAGAATTACGCATAAGTGCATTGTATAAAGTACGTGCACATTTTAAATATTACTCGAAGTGACGATGCACTGGTAGGTAAGTGCACATGAAATGGTGCCGACAACCACGAAATGCATTTCAGGAATGATAATGTACAGAACAAACAGGTGGCATTCAATATACAAAGCCCAGCAGCAGCGAATTCTCCAGACAACGGTTGGAAAAGACCATCAACAACAGCCAGGAGAATCTGGTTTAATCCGGTGCAATGCTCATTACACCCTCTACATCTCTATAATATATACATGTACAGTATGGCAGAACAATGTTAAACAAGTTGCTAGATACAGGATTTGTATATTTGCACTCATATAACTGATCAATGTAACGTTACTTCGTAAGTACTGCTGTATTGCTTCCTAACTTATAAGTGCAAAGGGTAGAGCAATGACCGTAACCAGTAACGTTAGAGGACCACAGGGGTATACCGGTAGATACAGATCTGTAGTTTATTTTAACTATAATAATTATTATTTTGAAACATTACCCATTGTATGTACAGAACACAAGCGGAAAGATACATACATATTCATGTTAATCATAGTCTGAAGCACTTCAGTATAAAAGATCGAAACAGTTATTAGCTCTCCGGAGATAAGGTACATTGTACGTTCTACATGTATTTCTGCTCCAACAGATTACAAAAAACCTTTAGTTTAGCTTGACTGATCAGCAGCAAGCATGCTAGCACACTGATATGATGGACATGATGATGTTCGTACTGCCACTGCGCTGCACTAGCACTGCACACAATACTATAGAAACCACGAAAAAACATCGTCATGATGCGGCTGGGTTTGCACCACCGTACATGTTTGCGAGGTCAGTGGTGCAACAGAAGTCCGCTCCAGCTCTTGTGACCTTGGTTCTTGTCGATGGCGGCTATTGATTTGGCCAAAGTAGTTTCTCCCTTCTATTTTGGGCATGTTCGTGCCTGATTTGGAAGTGACAACAAGCTGAATTCGAATCTAGTCGAGTAGATGAAACGAACTGGGGAAAAAAATTGCGGTACGATCAAGGTCGGAACGAAAAAAAATTCTAACAGGATTTTTGGTGCCTGGCTCACAGTCTAGAACAGGCAGGTGGTCTTCAGGACTGTTCATCAAGGGTGACAACACTACCGATATCCGTAGCTTCCCCTTGTCGGTGCTGCACTGCCAGCCCGATCACGCCTAGAAGCACTTAGTCATGCAGAATGGCCATCTTCCCGGGGCTGCTCCAGGGAGACCAAGAGCACTGCAAAACATGTCAGTGACCTATGAACTGTGATGCCATTTGCCCAAATACAAACTGACAGAGGAAAATCGCAGAGGAAAATCCTTCAGACTTGCTCTCTGAGTGCTGTTGGCTATTGATGGACCCGTCCACTTTCGGAGCGGATTGTGCTTTCAGCACTCGGACTAACAGACGGCACCCCACTCTCAACACACATACACACACACACATACACACAAGTACACACACGTGCCCACGAACATAATGTGTTTTACTCACATTCGCAATTGGGACGAGGATGATCCCAGCGTCCATCACGCTGGCAGGTCAGAACACGCCGTCCCCTCAGCGAGAAGCCAGTTCTGCAATAGTAGCTGACCTGGCTTCCAACTCGGCCAAAGTCTCTTCCATGTGCAAGCTGACCATTTTCAGGGTAGCCAGGGTCTCCACAAGTCTTTGGATGGTCACCTAGGACACAAATCATTTAAAAAAACTGAATCAAGCCCTCATTATAGTACCGTATTATCTCTAATATAAGCACAGTCTCCAATAATAGCACGTCTCCAATAATAGAACACCTTGGGGCGGCATTCAAAAAATAAAGTGCTCAGTCTCCATTATAAGCACACTGTGTAAATTCATTATCTGTACCGGCGAAAAAAATCTTGAAAGGTGTGTGTCTGACATGAATTTGGCATGGCAACATGCCTCTGAAATGAGGTTGAAATAATAATGGAACAGTCTCCAATAAAGGAACGTCTCCGTTAATAGCACGGGGCGGGGCGGAGGTACATTGAAAAAATAAAGGACCATGCTTATATTAGAGATAATACGGTAACTGCAATATCCTCAACACCGGAAGAAGAACCAAATCAACTTGTGACGCATTCCATATTGATGTACGGCCCGGTTTTCAACACACCCTAGCAAATGTTAAAAGTTTAGAAACTGCCACCAATGGAGAAAATTATGCTTAGATGTGTGAGGAAAGCTATATGGCACTGAGCACCAGTTACTGTCTCAGGCACGGCGGAACCGGTCCAGTTGGTCCGGCCATGGTTGGTCAGGCCATGGCCGGACCAACTTTTTAGCCACCAACGTGTGTTTACTGCTGAGGAGGTCATGTGTATACCCGCCATATCATACACAATGCATGAAAGACAAGCTTATGGCCGGACCAATCACAAACTGCTTCCGCCGGTACTGTGTCTTCATCACAGAGCATGGCTTGCAAACATATTCAGCATGATTCACATGCAACCAGAGGTTACTGGTACTCACGGACGCACTGGCCGGGCTTGCCGGACCACTGGTGGTTCTCCAGGCAATAGCGAATCGCCGAACCCTGGTTGCCATAGCCCGGGTCACACGTACACACCACGTACTCGTCGATGGCGTACTCTTGCTTGGCTGGCCCGCAGATGCCGTTCGCAGGATTCGGCACTGGGGTGCAGCTGTGCTTCGGGTTCACTACATCAAGAATACACACACACATTGCTACACTGTGCTAGCAGCTGCTATTAAGGTAGCTCAATAGGAAAAACTTGGTCCGAAGATTGTCCAGTTTTACTTTTTTCTACACCTTTCTACATGTGTACTGAGTGAAAAAAACATTCCTTGGGGGGGGGGGGGGGGGGTAATTGGGCTAAATCTTCCCGTACGGTGCCTAGAAAAATATACGATTTTGCGGAGTTTTTAGCACACATCTCTTCAGGAAACATTTTCATTAGAATGCTTTATTGAGTCTTTCTTGATGCTCTGCTTCGTCGAGGGATGTCCCTGGAACAAAACTGGAGCATTGGGGAAGTTCTACTAGCCTTGAATTCAACTATTCAGTTTCAAAAGTTGTTGCGGGTTGCGAAATTTACGTCAAATTTGTTACAAAGAGGATGAAATTTCAAAATTGGTCCGAATATGTTCATGTTTTTCTTCTTTATGATCAAGTCGGACCCTTACTGAGCTGGAAAAACAAAAGTTTTTTTTGGGGGGGGGGGGGGGAATTAGGCAAAATGTTGCTGATATGCCGGACCATTTTCATATATCGGACATGTGTATTTTGCCTCCAAGACACTGTTTTTCCTGCAAAACTTGATAGAGGTTCCATTGGTTATGAGGTTGGTACTGATAGAACAGCTGTAACAGGGTAACAGAGCACGATCTGCCTTTAGGTTTTGAAAAGAATTCCAGTCAATGGGCACCAAAAAGCCATACACATACTGGTAGAACAAAATAATTAATTTGAAATTCTAAAGTGAAAAATCTTTTAAATAATCCACTTACAGATGCAGCGCGGGATTGGATTTGCCCATTCGCCATTGTGACACAAAACTGTAGGCAGAGCACTAGTCAGCTCGTAGAACTCGTTACATATGACCTCGACCTGCGAACCGTTATGGTATGATTTGATGAAAGGGTGCTGGACAACCCTGACAACGCCGTTCTCCACAGCCAGCCTCTCACACGGTGCTGCACACAAGAAGAACGCAACCATGCACGCAAAGAATGGTTTAAGCACACACCTACAGCATGCATCTACAAGGTCTGAACAGCTAGCTGCCCGGAGATAAAGTAGCATTTTTCTTTACTTAGTCACACAGTTTACTTCGCAAATCCAAACGGGAATTTCTTCCCAATAACAAGGTCGCGAACATGCATCTTCACTTGTGAACACTAATGCACTGGCAGGTCTATTCATACAGGAACATAGGTGCCAAAGAACAGGCTGATGAAGAACATCCACGCTAGAAAGTCACCAGATTTATAAGGACGTACCAGGGTGGAAGCAAAGATTTAGGAACACCAGTGTGGTTTTCAAGTAACACTGCATTCACAGTGCACCTGTGCCATGTAAGTGTAATAGCACAGAATAGGAATAAAGACGTTGGAATCTCAAACGTAAGAACATCACTAGCCGGACACGCAGACCCCATCCCCCTCCCCTCGTTCTTCGGCACTCAGTGTTACTGAACTGTGACAATAAATGCATATGTATCCTCCTGATAAGAGTTTATGCCGAGACCGTCCAGCCATCCCACTCTGATCGGGATAGTCACGCATTGCACTACAACACTGCTATACACTCTACATCGGAGACGAATAGCCTTGCACACGGGATGGGTGTCCCACTTTAGCACTGAGGTTGATCAGCCTGAAACTTCCTGGCGACCTCCCAGTGATGCTAACGGCCATCTTGAAGTCTTTTAAAAGGTTCATCATGACCCCACTGTGTCCCCTTACCGTTGCATTTGTAATCACCACGGCAAGCCTGTGTCTCACGGAATATCACGCACTTGCTGGTCACTTGGGCAGATGCGGCGTCGTAGGTAATCTCCAGGTCGTGCACGAACCGTTCCTTGATACCCGCGGGCCCTGGAACGTCACGGCACACCTTGCTGCAGTCACCCCAGGACGTATGATCGGGTGGGCACTTGCGATGAGCTAATCAACAGCAGCACGGACAGTCAGAAACACAGACGCAATCACTACATCCCGGGTGTGCGGAAATAATGACCGGCACTGGCTCGAAGAAACCAGTTGACGTTTACAATAGACTTCCTCTGATGCAAACACACGCGTGCGCGCGCACGCACACACACATATACCCCCCCCCCCCCCCACACACACACATCTGCGACACATAATTATGTGACACATCACTCAATCATTTTTAAATATACTCAAAGTACATGTACATGTATTCTCTGGTTTATTTATCTGCACCAGGCAGCCAGAGAAAGAGAGCGGTGGCTTATGTGACTACGCTTACATTGTCTGTGAATGCAGACCGGCTCCTTGCCATGCCAAAGGCCATCACCCTTGCACTTCCTGTAGGCTTTGCCATTGGTTCGTTGATAGCCGTTTGCGCAGGAATGCGAGAGAACGGTGTTTACAGGGTACTGGACATTCTCATACTCGCACACCACTTCATTGACGGGATTCACTGCAGGCACCGTGGGCATTGCAGGTGGAACGTATCCTTTCGCTGTTTGCATAGGCATGCCGGGATTACGGCCGACAGTCTCTTCCGGCCCTTGTGGTGCTTCCGTGGGTTCCGCGGCCATCCGAGTAGTAAAAACAGGCTTTTTAGTGAGTTTCACTGTGGTCTCAACAGCCGGCATTGTTGTTTCCGCTACCGTTGGCTGTTCAGTTTCTACTGCGGGTGCCTCGGTAGCAGCTTCAGTTTGCGCCTCAGTCCTGGCCTCTGTTACAACCCGCTTTGTCACGGGAACTTCAGCGGCAGGTTCCGGTGTGGTAGGTGCTTCAGTGTCAGCCTCTTGCGTAGTAGGCACTTCAGTGTCAGCCTGCTGTGTAGTAGGCGCTTCAGTGTCAGGTTCTGTAGCAGCCTCGGTCACGGCCTGTTGTGTGCTAACCACTGGAGGTAGTGTGGTGGCATTTGGCTGCACCATGTCGGTTGTTACTTGCGGAACTTGTGCTGCAGTCAGAACCCACAAACAAACACGAACACCGTCACAATGATAGTCTCGCATCCACCAGTCAGGTGACCTAGTAGTTCTGCCTATCTTCTGTACAGTACATGACTGTGCTCTACACTTACAAGACACATATTGAATTATTGATACACATGCACAGCTGCGGCTCTACAGGGACAACTGGCTCCTATTGGCATTGTTGACCTCGACTTCGTCATGCACATGCACACACGCAGCACACACATACATGGGAGATTTCATGCTCCACACTGATTGACTGCATGAGATTAGAACGGTTCCGTTTCCTTCAACACAGTCCTGGGTGCGCCAACATATACCATGAACCCGTTCAAAAATGGTTGCAAGGAAAAGAAGGAAAAAATCATGGTCCGCTTGGGACTCAATTAGACTGAGTTTCAGCATCTGTAGGAACGCAACTACCCAGCAAAGATCAAAGGTGCAGATGTAGCTCCTAAAGCGGTGGGAGGTGAGAAAGACATCAAAGAACTTCTTAAAACACATTAGTGAATACCAACCAAACACAGGCTTGAAAACAGCAACTGGAACTTACTGGTTTCATCACAGGTCGCGACACACTCCTCATAGCCAGACTGCGGATTACACTGGGAATAGTAGTCGTTACCCGAGCCGGGGAAGACAAAGTACTTGCCACGCTCACGGATACGCATTCCTGGCTCGCCGCATCCCATCGCTTCACACTGACCCCAGGATCGCCAGTCCGACGGACACAGTACAGATGGATCTGGTCAGGGAGTATGCAGGGGGGGGGGGGGAGGGAGAGAGAGAGAGAGAGAGAGAGAGAGAGAGAGAGAGAGAGAGAGAGAGAGAGAGAGAGAGAGAGAGAGAGAGAGAGAGAGAGAGAGAGAGAGAGAGAGAGAGAGAGAGAGAGAGAGAGAGAGAGAAGGGGGCACGATCATTAATGCCGTTAGAAGCACACACAGTAGAATAAACATATCCATGTCATTGTAGATGTTGTCCACGTGATGTCATAGGTCAGAATTGACCCAAACGCTAACAAACTAACTTCGAGATACTCTAGTTCATTTGGTAAACCCAAAGACAGAGAATGCTTAGAAGAACGTATTTGTGGAAAGCGGGCAGTCTGGAAACAGAGTGCGGCAAAGACTGGAACTCCATCAGAGAACTTTTTAGGATTGGTTTCCCACCTCTGCGGAAGCACATAGTCCAGGTCAGTGAAAGACGGCACTGTGACAGTGGCTGACATTCGTGTCTACACTCATGTCTGTCTTATCCAGTTAATGCGTATATTTCATTCATTTGTGTGTCTCCTCCCTGTTTGTTTATTTATTCGTACTAATTCCACAACCCAACAAATCACAAGGAACACAATACAGAGTACAATGAAGATTTTTTTACATCCATATCCTTACCATCCTGTTTGACACAAACTGGCAGCTTCGGTGGCAGCCAGCCAACCTCTGCGCAAAGGCGAGTCTCGGAACTACCGGCACTGAGTGAATAGCCAAAGCCACAGCTGTAGTGCATCTCCGTGTTGACCTGGTACTCCATGCCGTCCTGTTCACACGACACTGCGCGTACACATGTACACACACATGTACACACACATGTACACACATACATACACATACATACACATACACATGTACACACACATGTACACACACACACACACACACACACACACACACACACACACACACACACACACAATACAAACTTTCATTGACAACCAGCAACTGGGCACACGGGTACCTAGGGAAAAGGAGAGAGGATGAACGCATACGTGCATCTGTAGCCAGGTTCCCTGGGGCTACGTAACTTGAAGATGGGACAACAAGCAATGTCGTCACCTCCTGTTCGCCCGACACCTCCACTCTCGATAGCTTGGCAAATGCCCGAGTGGATAGACAACAGCGCTCTGTACCATTGAAACCTGCCCGAGGGCTCGCACGGGGTGGCTATTAGCGGAGGGCTCGCACGGGGTTCTTGAGCGTCTCTTGTCGAGAGCTCTCTTTCTTCACTTGGCACGTCTACAGGACAGCTGAGAGCCCAAGCAACCGATGCTTGGTATGCTGCGGGTTGTGTCCAGCTCATGGACCCAAAAAGAGACGAAAGGATTGTGT